GAGCTGCTCTCTATCTATAATAGGCAACAATGTTAACAAGAAGTGATTTAAAAGCTGTCAAGTTTGCCACAGGCATCACAAAAAAGAGCAGTTTGAGAATAATGAGGTAGTCTAGTCCTGTGAAGGTTGAAGAAATGTAATGAAGAACAATGCAGGGAGAAAAACCCACACAAATGCATGTGGCAGGTGACAGACAAGGATTTTTGGGGAAAAAAGTTTGATTAGTGTCCAATAGGTCTGCCATAGTCCAACAACAAATCCGCCTCTGAACTTTTACAGTACGAAAGTTAAATATCCTAATAACAGCTAGGCCACCATGCTGAAACATTTGGGAAACAGTGTTCATTAGTTGCTCTTGGCAGGCACCTAGGATTATGGAATGCATTTCTGAAGGATTCACAGTACCAACTCTCTATACCTCATCCTGCTCTTCTCAACCAGTGCCGGCTAAACCAGCGCCTAGATCCACACCCCGGGCACCGCGCTAGCGCGCACTCCCAAGTCCTGAGCCCCGAACAGCAGGATCTGTTGGAGACTGCTCTGACACCCTCCTGCCCACACAGGAAGGTTTGCTTTCCCAGGGACAACAGAGCACATCATAGGGCACAGAGGTGGCACACCGCAGGGCTTTGTCTTGAGATGTTGTAAGGATGTGTCAGAGAAGCACACCTATTTTCCTCAGCACATTGGGTCTTGGCTCAGGAATGAATCAACAGCTTCTTCCTGAGCTTCACAGTAACTTAGCAATATATAGAGAGATCTTCCTGGTCAACAGAGCCATCCCTAAAAATTTAGAGCTATTGGGCATTACTAACCGTAGAAATCTCCTTTGTTCTTCTGTAACTTCAATCTCCAAAGGGGGAGAGATGGAGGAGGACAGTAATTTCTTCTTGCCACATGCTGCAGCTTCCTTCTCATAGGAACCTGTGAATGAATCGTTTGGAAGTATCCTCTCTTAGAGTATTTACGCAGGCATTACCCTTAATGACCCTACGGTTTGGCATGCAATCCTCTGCTTGGATTAAAAAGTGACCACGGAATGCCTTCTCCTGAAACTTGTGGAGGGCTGGGAATCTCACAAACCAGACATCTAGTCTCTGGGGAAGGGTTGGTTAATGCCACTTTGTTTTTTCCCACCAGTTCCAAAAAAGAGTCACCCTAAATAGCAAAAAAAAAAAACCAACCCTGATATATTTAGTCCAACTCACAGTGAGAAATTTTTCCACAGAAAAGTCTGATACAAAGGGCATTAAAATACTATTCATTAAGCCTTTCTCCCTTCGGTCTTTAACATTTTTCAGTACCTGACCAAGAGGAGCAGGTTCCTGGAATGCTCTCTGATGAACCCCGCAGCATTTATTGGTGAAAGAGAAGGTCAATGATTCTTAAGTGTTTGATGAATGGCTATTGTGCTTCTTAACACTGAAACCAATGGCTAATGAGCTTACAGAGAAGACCATTACCGCTTTGCAAACAGTTTCAGATTGAGGAAATTTTAAGGCTTAAAGCACAGCATTCAGCTAAAAAGAAACCGAATGAACTATGCTCTTTACTCTGCATCCCGTGTCTTATTCTTCACAGCCTAACCACATAATGTTATTGGTGTTGTTCTATTTCCTCTTCATTGTTTTTCCTATCAGTCTTCCTGCTCTTGCATTGTCAGGACTATTTTAGTTCGATAGTTCTGTGGATAGGGAGTATATCTTATATTTATGGAACCACTGTAACGATTTTCAGCTGCCAATGCTATGGCTGCTACAGATACTGAATGCCTGCACTCTCCTAGGGATCAGGATAAGGACAAATGAATATCCTATTGGTTCCATATATCCCAGATTTATCCTTTCAGTAAGTTAGCACGCTTTCCCTTTCTGACAGCTCGTTCGTACTTTTCTCCGCACCGATTATCTTTCTTCCCAAGACCATCTGACTCCTCACCTGCTATAAGCTGCTCCAAGCGGATCCGTTCATGAGCTGCATGTTGGTCCACCAAAATCAAGAGGTTTCCGTCTACAAATGTACCAGAAGAGATGAGAATTAAGCAACTTTGTACCAAAGAACGGCACAGGTTGGGGAGAATGACCACATTTAGATGATAACTATCAGCCAGTTATACAGAAATAAAGTGAGGAGGCTGTGTTGGCAGAACATAAAGTCACTACAGAACAGAAATTCAGTGATCCAAATTGGCATTTAAATTAAGGTAATTAGATTGAGTCAGAAACTCTTGTCTATTGACATCTTCATCTAACTTCAGAACGAGGGCTGAGGTCACCCACAAACTGTTCTGTTTCATACAGTCTTTTAAAATGTTATGAAAACTACTGGTTTTGAATGCCTTTTTTGTACAGCTCCAGCAGGCTTCAACAATGAATGTCCAGACACTGTGAACAGAGTCTGAAAGATGTTAGTAATTTGAGTACAATCTATTTTTGTAACACTAATCTGAAGGCAGTAGGAACATTCAACAGCGTCCAAAACAAAGATAAAGAAGATCCAGGAAATTTCAAGTGAAGACTAACATTTTCCTCTACTCACAATATCATCCCAAGGCAAGAAGACAATACAATCAGGACAGTGTTCCCCCTACAGTCTAACTGCACTTGACAGCCACCTCAACTTCATGTTAGTAACCACTCTCACCTTCCTTTTTATCCGTTTCATTCCTAGTGTTGATTAAACAAGCGATAAATTTATTGTCCACTTGCTGAAGAACCTGTAAGATACTCAGAAAAATCATTACTCAGTGGTAAAATTATTTTTAAAAGGAAGGGAAACAAAAGAAGACGACAGTCGAAGTGGATGAAGCGCAACAAACAGCTAGTAGGATGCTTAGGGGAGTGGAAACCACATCTCTTCTAATCCCAAAGGCTTCAAGAATTTGGCCTAGCAAAACTGAGACTGAGAAGGTATCTAACTATTCTTTATAAAAACAGTGGGGGGCTAAATATGGAAAAGGCAGCAATTATTTAAGCTAAAGGACAATATTGGCAGAAAGTAAAATGACCGTAAATTGTTCATGAAACAGTTTAGTCTGGAACTAAGAGATTTTCAAAGTATCCAAGACAGTAATTCTGGATAATTTTTTTCAGCCAGTCATAGGGGCAAGAGCTCTAATTGTTCTAAGGTGGAGCTGGAAATTTACAGAATGGATTAAATGCTCGTGCAGGAGCCTCCTTGAGCTGGGAATTCAAGCTGTGCACAGCAACTCTGCGTATTTGATTTGCTGATATCACCAAAAGAGAATGTAAACAACCTTTTTTAACCTGCCCCGTGTTTAAGGGCTTGTACCGATCATCTGTAGGAGCCAGGAAGCATTTATTTTCCCCCTCATTTTCTGATGTAGAATTTGCCTCTGTGACTTGATTCCACCTTCCTCTCAAGCATCAAAAGTCAACCAGAGCTACAGGGAATACTGAGCAGGGAAGCACAATCCTTGCAGTATCTTACTGTTAGATTTAAATTAATAGATGTGGTGTTAGGGAGGAGTTTCTCCCGGTTGACACAGAGCTCACTCTGAATTCTCTGTCTCACAACATGTGCACTGTTCACCTCCTCGGTACAAATGAATAGATGATCCTATTTCTTTGCAGGGATGCAAGTCATTAATGATTCTTTTTATTCCTTTCCTGGGGCGGGATGCAACATTTTGTATTTTTGGTCTTTACTACAGAGATTGTCAAAATTTCTATAGGGTACTTAAGGCAGTATTTAGCGTCTTCAGAGATGGGAAGTGGTAATTTCTTCTAGCTTTACCTTCTTAAAAACATACAAAGGAAAACGTTACACAGGTAAAGTTGATCAGTTAAAGTTAACAGAACCCCTCAGTAAGTTTCAAAGGACAGCCTAAGGTCAATAAAAATAGAAGATACAGGACACAGGTTTCAGTGGAATACGCAGCAAATGCCTACAATAAATACAAAAATCTGCCCACTGAAATATCATTTAGTTAACAGTGTTTCTAAGCAGCAGTAACAGACCATCTCTTGATTTGATTTAACCCTACAGCCAAGGAATTTTAGAGTGACTTGCAGATAGCTGATTAACCATGAGGTGATACAGAGATCTGGCATGACATACATGTCTGCTGGTATCACACAGCAACCAAGAAGTCTGCCTGTGCTTGTGAAAATTACAGATACAAACTATTTCCCTGGATATCTCTTTCCCACTAGGCAGAAACATCAGTAAATCCCATCAGCTGAGTGGAAATTTGGGAGTGAAAACTAGTGGTAGATCACACTGTACCTGCATTGAATGAACCATGTCTTTGGTGAAGCGATAAGGATACAAGATATTGTGAATTTTCACAGCCAGATTGTCAGCCTGACTGCTGGTCACGTCAACAGCGATCTGTAAAAACGGAATTACAGATCACTATAAAGGATATGGCAAAACCCCCAAACACACACAAAATACCCCCAACAAACCAGCTTTCAGAAAAACCGGAAATCACTGTGTATTTTGACAAAGCAAGCTTTCTACACAAGGGTAGCAGTTACCAAAGACACTGTCCAGCAATCCCTTTGCTTCCGTCCTCCTACACTTTCCCATCTGGATATTACCTGCTAACTTCAATGCATTCAGCTAACTTCAAGTATCTATCAGAAAACCTGAAGGTAATTACCAGCCTGTGAGCTCTCAATGGATGTCATTACAAGAGATGTATTACCCCAAAACGAGTCAAGAGTAAACATCGCAGCAACAACTGAACAGAACCGTTCCTCTTCAGACACTCACCAGCAGGTGGTTTGCTACTCCCTCTCTATTGTTTGCAGGTGGAAATGGTTACATACATATGTTTACACACACACAACATGATGATTAAAGATAATGCTACCTCATGACAACAAAGGAAGTTTTTCTAAAAGCTCCAACATTGTTTCCCTCTCACATGCTACAATCCTGCCAGGCTACGAAAACAACTATAGTAAAATACACTTTTAAGACCCACTGCATGCCAGAGAAGAAAGCTGGGTTACTTTAACTCTGTCCATAAAGAGGACAGACACTGTACTTCAATTTTGCCATCCTTTGACTTTTAATTTTAAGATGACTATCTCTGTAGAGAGAAAGACAGCTTACAATAATGTTTTGCTTTTAAATGACATAAGGCAAAAGGTTAGCCTGATACCTGCTTCTCTCGTTTTAAATATATCCACAACAGTGACTCACATATCAACAGTCTATAAAAACACATGACTGCCAGGTCTGTAGCCTAATGTATCACTGAATAACTTATATGCAATGGTTACCCTATTTGCAATGCTGGTCCCTGTGTCAGATAGTAACAGAAGGCTAAACTGACTCCTGTTTTAGCATGAGATGCGAGGTGATAACTTACCGCTGGGCAGGGAACAAAAACAGGGTTATCCCATTCTGAAAGCAACAACTGGAGAGACTCTCCTTCAGCATCTAGGAAAGAGCACATAGATAACAGAGGGACTACCACCATCCACCAATCAACGGTGCATTGGGTACCTTTACATCACACAAGCAGCATTTTTTTTCCAGTATAAAAAGGGGAGAATGCAGAAATCAATAATGGAACATGAAATTGCGCTTTCTCATTGTCTGCTTTAACTAGGAAGGACACTCTGCAGCTTTCTGACTCCTAAATATGCTGCAGTACCATTCAACAGGCCCTGGAAATGTGGCAGGGGGTGCGGGAAAAAAGACCTGTTTAGCTACCCACTCCCTCTGGACAAAGTCACATACCAAAAAGATGATTTCATCCTCTCCACCACAAAAAAAATTGTGAGGATTGAAGCTATTTTTCACATTCCAAGGTTGGAATGAGTACAAAGAAAGGAGTGGGTAATTATTCTTTAAAGCACTGACATAATTCAACAAAGAACTGGGTATTTCATCCTGTAAATAAGTATCCCCTAACCTGCCTTCAACCCTAAACCATTTTTTTTTCCAGTTCTAGATCCGAGATGACTCACACGGTCCCATTGTTAACAGACCTTGAGTAACTCTGGGTTCCTGTTGGGACATCTGGGAGAATTCTTTGATTTGTTTTTACCACAGAACACTGTGTCCTGGAAAGCTGGCCCTACCTCTCAGATGCTGGCTTGCTAGAGTCTTCTCTTTCCGAGGTCTAGGTAGGAAGGGTAGCACAATCTCACTTCTAAAGGGATGGCACCTGAACTGAAACCCTAAACACAATATAAGTTTATTGCTGCAGATTCAACAGCATGCAAAATTACAAAAAGCTATACAGTGATTATAATTTCATGAGTGAGTGCATGCTTAGCCCTGTACAAATTACAGTATCCCACAGATTTTGCAGTCTGATGTTGAAACAACAGCACATATGTAAAAGCTGAGAATTATCAGACATGCTTGCATCAGGAAATGTATTTCAAAATATTACTGTGGCTTCTGCAGTAATAAAAAAACTTAAAAACTGGCTGCTGCTTTAAACTTGTAACCATTATTTCCAGAATTAATGCAATCAGAAGTGTTATCCCTCCCCCAAAAAAGAGGAGGCATACAGTAGATGGTAACATACCAAAACACTCTTGAATTCCTTCTATTAAGGAGTGGCCAAACTGTCCCTCTATCCCCCCTCCTATCAATATCTAACACAGTTACCAGGGACTTGTAAAACTGAAGACTGCGAGTCAGTGAGACCACACGAGATATCAGACTTAGCCTAACAACATGTTCCTACCCACCCAGACATGACTGAATGGTATTCCAAACCTGCGCTGTTATCGAGATTAGTAAGAAAAGTGGCTCAGATTTCCAGCACAGTGGTAAACATTTCACCCTTCCTTTGGTACAACTCAGACTTCTATTCTTTGTGAAATAATAACGAATTAATAAAGTTCCTTTCTACTGAGAAATTAAGGGTGTGCATTCAGGAAAAGTGGCAGAGTGCTAACGCCAAAGAAAACCAGCTGCGTGCTGATAAGCTCAGTATGAAAAGGCTTTCTGAGATCCTAGGCCAGTGCGTAGACTCCTAACTGTGGGCTCCATTCCAGCAAGGACCAATGATGGTCAAACCCTGGGGACAAAGAAACATTTCAAGAAGTCAAACTGGCAGCCCAGCACAGGAAAGTAATTCAGCACCCTGTTGTCACAAACCCCAGACCAGAGGACAAGATGGCCTGCTGTGGTTCCTGGTAACTTGAAGAACGCTACCTAATTAAGACTGTGATGGAATGTTATGGCTATTGTCATGGAAAGATACTATCTCTCAAGTTCACAGAAGCACCTATATGAACAGAAGTCTAGTATTTTATATGTGTAATAAAACAAAGAGTCATCTCCCTGCTTCTTATTGTAGGGAACGTACATCCTTGTTCAGGATATACACTGTTCATAAAGCTAGGATTTGCATGCCCAAAGCCCAGTGGGAACTGAGAGCTGGCAGAGATATTACTAATATGATTTTTTCTGGCAAATAACATCAGAAACGGTGCTGAGGATAATAATGTATTTACTTCATAGAATCATAGAATGGTCTGGGTTGGAAGGGACCTTAAAGACCATCTAGTTCCAACCCCCCTGCCATGGGCAGGGACACCTTCCACTAGACCAGGTTGCTCAAAGCCTCGTCCAGCCTGGCCTCGAAGACATCCAGGGATGGGGCATCCACAGCTTCTCTGGGCAACCTGTTCCAGTGCCTCACCACCCTCTCTCTGAAGAATTTCTTCCTGATATCTAATCTAAACCTCCCCACTTTCAGTTTAAACCCATTACCCCTTGTCCTGTCAGTACAGGCCCTTGTAAAAAGTCCCCCCCAGCTTCCTTGTAGGCCCCTTCAGGTAATGGAAGGCCGCAATAAGGTCTCCCCAGAGCCTTCTCTTCTCCAGGCTGAAAAAGCACAATTCTTGCAGCCTTTCATCATAGGAGAGGTGCTCCAGCCCTCTGACCATCTTCGTGGCCTCCTCTGGACTCAATGATGGAGAGTAAGCCCCATGATAAGGCTAAGAAAGAACGAGACCATTGGAGGTGAAAAGACGCAACACAATAGGCATTTTCAAAGACTAGAGACCATACATCCGAAAGGATTAGGGTATGTGAGGTATTCTCTTCATAAGTGTGAACGCACTAGCATTGTGTTCCATCCAACTACATTTTGGATGGAAGGTCAAGCTCCACATCTCAGTGCTCTGGCTGGCTACTAAGCAGCACTGTGGGCAACTGAAATTGGTAAACTGCAGAAATGAAGTGTGTTAGTCAAGAAGCATACATGTACTCTCGCAGGTAGTTTTACCTAATAAAAACAGAGATGTTCTTCTCCTTGTAACAAATTTACTTCAATGGAACACAATAAACATTAAGAACTACTGGCATCAATTATTATACTTAAAAGGGAACAGCTTAACAACTGAAACACTGCAGCAGTGTTCCTATGACTGGTGGTAAAGAAGGAAGTAACAGACAAAACGGGACACACCAGAGGCTATTGTGACTGCTTAGATGAATATTTCACAGGAGAACTATCTAGAAAGAAGTCCAAACTACTTTTTCAAAACAGATTATGCAGCAGAAAATACAGTCTACGTGTGGAATGGCTGCATCTTTGCTCATAAAATCTGCCTACAGACAGAACAAAGAACAACTTTGAACAAAGGTTACCCATGGAAGGGAAAATTGTCAAAGACACTATTCTGCTGAGCCAGATCAGGGCACAGAAAGTCAAACCCAACAGATAGATCAGTGAAGACTCATGAACACCACACCTCTGAAAAACCAATACAGCGTCGTGGCCCGTCACCTCTGGAAAAGCTCCACCACTGAACCACCAGCAATGGTGGTTCCACCACATCTCCTACAAAGCTAGGCGTGAAGGAACAGCCTTCCAAAATCTGCGGAAAGGAGCCTACACATTCTCAATGAAGAGTTAGGTTTTCGTTCATTTTTCAAGCGTTCTTTTAAATTTTGTATGCAGGTTGAAAAAAGATCATTTTAATATGGGGCTCTCAGTAACAACATATTCTTCGAAACATAACCATTTAGGACAAAGTGGTAAAACCCACCATATTGTTCTGGTATGCTTACTTCAAAGTATGTTTCTCGCTTTATACACAACCAATTATGTGTAAGCTGTGAACACAGTAAATGCCACGATGCCTGGTAAACTAGGCAGCTGTTAATTGGCAAGTTGCTGACATTTTTTTCCTGTTTTATTAAAAATTACCTCTTAATATCTTGAATGCTAATGTTTTACTGTCTCCATAGCTCCCAACACTTTCCTGTCTTCCATACAGCTATTATGTGTAAGGCAATGGCTACTTTAGTATGAACTGCCAGCTAGGTGTTTATGCAGCTAACAGAACACAAACGTTTTCCTCATACCATTTTCACAACCACCAGCCCTCTTACCGTTCTCTGAAACAACGTTCACGGCCATCGTTGTTATATCTTGAACGCAGGCAGCTTGAAACCCTTCAGCAGCAGGAGTGCTGTAGGTGCTCAGCCCAGTTGCTTTATTGATGTATATTGTCTTACCCAAGGAAACATCAAAATTTTGCAGCCAATCAGAACACCATGAATCATTCCTGAGGTCGCCTGCGCTTGTGTTGTCTGCAGAGAATTCCAAGTTACTTGGGAAGGTCACATGGGGAACATCAGTGTCTTTCACATTTTGTTGTGAGGATTCATCTAATGTACTTTTCTCTTGACAGATGATGTTAGCACAATCCTCCATAGCAGGTAATGATACAACATTGCCTGAAGAGACACTGTACTCCCCTTCCACGCTGTCGAGGGCTGATGGGCTGAAAGTACTTTTCATGGACTCTGCTCTCGTCCTGTCTGTTTGAAAGCATCCATCCCCCTTAGAAATACTGTAATTACCTTCCCTCGTGTTTTCCACTGAGGATTTGTCTGTCTGACAAGCATTATACAAATGACTACTATTTGAAGATTCAAGATCAAAAGAGTACTCATCTTTTCTACCTGAATCTGTTTGGAATTGTTCACCAAGTTGTTCTACTTCCTTGCGGTCACTTTTCATTCGGGACAGTTTGGATGATAACGACCCTGGAGATCTTTTACAACTCAGATTTTTTTTACTAACCTCAGAATAATCAGACAACGTCAAAGGACTCTGGCAAAGGACTTGTTTGTCCTGTGAAGCTTCTCCACTGCAGAATAAAGTCTCTTCCAAAGAACCAAAAACTGGGCTACTATCATTAGAATCTGTACCTTCCAAAGCTGGAGTTTCACGAGTGCTCAAGTTACTCTGATTGTCATTGTCATTCTTTGAAAAGTCACAGTTAGCTTGTGACTTAAAAACTGGGAGACCAAATGCACTCCGCTCCGACACTGGTGTTGGCAGTGTACACTTGACTCTCCCATAGCATCGCCTGAATTTTTCCAATGAACCCAGCTGCGTGGCCAAGCTCAGCTTTTTAGAGGGCCGAGATCTTGGTACAGCTATTTGTCTGCTAGTGCTTTTGATAACTTTATTGTGAGAAGAAGTTGCCAGCGGCAATTCTGCAGCACCTGCTATCTCATAATGCCTTTCACTGGTGGTAACAGGCGTAGCTCTCTCCTCACTCACCTGGTTTGACAAAGTTTTGTTCTCTAACCACCCATTACTATCAGCCATGCATACTTCTCTGGTGTAAGGTGTATGTTCTTTGTTTGTGTTACTGGAGACATCCTTAGCATTTAAAAACTGACTCGGAAAATTCACTTTGCGGCCAAAAACACCCTCGGCACTGACAGGGCCAGGTCTACACGGCATGTTTAATTTCTGATCACTTTTGTATGGGGTCTCATTTTGCGTAACAGGTGTTATGAGGCCCATAGAGCACAATTTTAATGGTACTGAACAGACAGCCCCTCTTCCAGCACCATCTATCGCTTCAGCCATTTCCCTGCCTCCTCTTGTTGCATTACACAGTCTCATCAATGAACTCCCAGAGGCGGTTTCCAGCCCCACTGGTGTTTCCGTAGGATCTTCCCTCTCAGACGGCGACTGATGAACGTCGTTATTTAAGGTATGGATGGTACTGCTTTTCTGCACTGTGCCTGGCTGGCTTCCCATACCGTTTGTGTAACTCCCCGCACAACGCTGCAGGTCACCACAACTGTCTGTTTTTCTTGATTCCGATCTGGCCCCGCCAGTAAAAGAGGAACGAAGATTTTCTGAAGGTTCCAGATGAGGTTCGGATGCTTTTTGGGAACTGTTGGTGATTTCTGGCTCCTGCTCTGAGCTATCTGCTATAATGAAATCAGAAGCTGTGCCATCTTTGCTGGGCTGTGGAATCTCCACTTTGTTGTTCCTACATGGATCAGACCGTTCAGCAATCTTCTGATCTGGGGCAATTTCAGTTTCCTGTAGATTTTTATTTGACTCTGTAAGATTCAAAGATTTTTTTCCAGTAATAGATTTCCTTTTGACATCTTTTGATTGCAAGTTACACATTTCATAGGAATCCAGAATTTCATCACATGCTTTCTTAAAACTGTCTTGAATGCCCTTCTTGTCAGAGGGTGAGGGCTTCAGGACTGGAGCGCTACACAAACAAAAGTCATTATCTTTGTTAAATTCTCTGATGTCCTCGCTACACGGTTCAATAAATAAATGTTCTCTTTTCAAAAATTTTTTCACTCCTTCCTCTACGCAGGTTAGAAGAACATCCCAGTTCTGGAACTCAATTAGAGATTTTGCAGGTTCCAGACACATGTCATAGTCGCTGTACGCACAGGTCACATTGACAACAAAGATCCCGTAGAACTCTGGGCCACAACGATGGCGACCAGGACTCGAACTCGCCTGCCGGCTCACAGGGCCACTTTTTGCCTTGCAAATGACACTTTCTTTTCTTAATAAGAAATCAATTAGTTTATGTATTCTTGTCTTTAAAACAAGCCTTCTATTCACATACAAGAACTGCATAGTCTTGTTGTAATGTCCTTCGATACTGATATAACCATGTAGCTCGAATCCTCCAGACTTATGATTTATTTCTCGTAACTTCTGTGATCTGCCCAGTCCATAAATTTGACAAAACCGAGAATGTACATCTCTTGTCTTGGGGAGCTGAAGCACCATAGAACAAGAAGCGTCGTTCCTTAAAGAAAGTGAAACAGAGGGATGCATCAGTGAAATAGCCTCCACCTTCTGCCTCACTCTCTCAAATTCCAGCACAGGATCCATACACTTTCTCCTCACTGGTAACTGATGAAACAGATTGCACACGGTCACTGTAGTTCCAGCACTTGGTCTGCTCTGTTCAGCTTCGCAGACTTCCAGCGCTTGCCCGTTGTGAAACAGTTTCACAAACGTTTTTGCTGTCCTGCTGGTCTTAGACGAAACTTCTACTACGCTGGCCATGTTGGCTATGCTTGCCACAGCCTCCCCTCTAAAGCCGTAGAACCTCAGGTTCTCCAGGTCTCCCACTGAGCCGCACTTGCTGGTGAAGTACCGCTTTCCCATTGCATTTAAGTCCTCTCTCCCCATCCCAGAGCCATTGTCCACCACTTGGATCTTAAAAGCTTCCAAATCCACCCTGACAGCTACACACGTTGCTTTGGCATCGATGCTGTTGAGGACAAGCTCCTCAACACACTGCCCCAGTGAGTTGATAGTCACCCCAGAACGCAGCCTGGCTCGCACATCTTCCACCAAACATTTGATCATGTCAAAATCAGATAGATGAGAAACTCAAAAAAACAGCAGGGAGCTCACTCCTCCATGATCCTTAAAACAACTCCCTGGGTGGAGAGGAATAAAAAAAAAAAAAGGAAGAAGATACATACAAATTAAAGGCCTGAAGAATCTTTCCTTCATTGTTTTCACCCCCATAAACATACTTTCGTTATTTTCCTGGTATCCAGAGGCTTTTTCTGTGATTACTTTCCAGCCCAGGCTTTGACTACACACTCTTGGCGCCCCCAGGGTAAATGGTCAGAACATGAGCCTGTGCTCCTTACTAACAACATACATGATTCTCAAACTTAACATACCCGACACAATTCCGACGGTGATAAGGGCAAACTCAAACGTCCCGCAAGCAAAAGGCTTTTGCTTCCATTTGTACCAAACACATACAGAAAGCATCACCAAGAGGCAGGCACAGAGCTGCTTTCCTCTCCTTGTTAGCGCAATCTCCTCACATAAATTCACAACGCCTCATTCTGGCCTGTAATTCGCGCAGGACAGGAGGAAGCGGACTGGGGAACGGGTGTGGGATACCAAGCTGCCACGCGAAAGAGAGCCCACAGTTTTCCAGCCCTTGGCGCCTACTGCCTTCGAGGGGACGGGCAGCTCTTCCTCGCAGCCCTCAGGCACCGCTCCCCGCGCTAGTCCCCCCCCCAGCTGCCCCGCCGTGTGACAGGTACCCGGGGACACAGGGAGACGGCCGAGGCCTCAGCCCGCTCCCGAGAGGCGCTGACGGGAGAGGCGGCCCCACTCCGCCGGCAGCACGGGGAGCAGGGGGAAGCCCCCGGGCCGCGCCGCTC